TTTGCCCGAAAGGCGTCTTCGAGCTCTTCCCAGCTTCCAATGGAGCTTTCGGGGAGGCTCTTAAGCCAGTGCCGAGCTGGCCCTTTGAGTTTGAGGGGTAAACACTTAATGGCGTGGAGATCATCTCCCCGAGCCATATGGATATGGAGGATATAGTCCTCAATCCAGACCCCAGGGTCTGTTGTTCCGTCGTATGCCTCTATGTTTATGGGTTTGAATCCCTCTGGAAATTCATGGTCCAGCACCTCATCGGTGAAACATAGGGGGTGTGCGGCACCCCTATATCTAGGTGTACCGCATTGTTCGTATGTTTGTTGTGTTGCATCGTATGCTGGAGCACGCTTGCGTGGTCCATAGATGGATCTGGTTTTGCCGTCCTTTTGATGCGAGCCCTCGTGTAGACCGCGTATTGGCTTATGTGCGGCGTTGCTTGCCGCTTTATGTTGGCCATGAGGTCGTCTATCCGGCCAGATGGCTGTTTTAATTTTTGGTTGTGGGGGGTCTAAGGCCTCCTCATCAAATTCAGGTAGCAACTTCCGCTTTGGGTAGCTCTTGGTGGGGCGATTGCCGCCGTACTTCGCTGTTGTGTTGAGTAATTTACTCCATCTGATTTGGAGTGTGTCTTGCGCAGCCTTGAGCCTTTGCTTCTGCTTTTCTAGACTCCTTGCGGTGGCAACGAGCCTTTGATGGGCATTCTGTTGCTCCGGGTGTATGTCCGGTGTGATGTCGTATGGACTATTATCTTTGATAGAGTCGGGTTGTTCAGTTTGATTCTCCGTGTTGCCGTGGTCCGGCAATGGCTCGCCCTGCTCTAACGCTGGGTCTGTATGATCGTTGTTTCTACCGAGGCGGGATTTGGGGCGGCACTTACGCCCCCTCTTTGACTGCTTCTCGAGGGGACAAGCCTTCGTAGCGTCCTTCCGTTCCTTGTCGTCGTCTTCTTTTGGTGTGTCCACCATGTACACGTCATATGACGAGGTGGCTTTCCAGTGCCCTATAGGCGCTGGTTCATGTTCGTCTCCTACATCATCGTCCAGACCATCGATGTTTTCGGAGTCGAAGTCGAGCATGTCGGTTAAATCATCGATAGTGGCTACGAAGTGGGTGGTGGGTGGGTGTCGAATTTCTTCGTCGTCCGCATCCCAATCCTGTTGGCCATAGTTCGGCCAGGATTCTCCTGACAAGGAGAGAGACCTTAGTGAATTCAGAATGTCGCCGAGGGGCGAGTGCTGAGAGATATCCGTGCCGGTGAATTCCATGATCGGCGCCCAATCGGATTCAATTGGCAGGGGCGCGGGCGGTTCAGAGTCTGGGAAAGAGTCCGGCTCCTTGGAGTCGCGGGCTGCGCGGAGAATTAGGCTGGCGTTCGGCTCGATCACCGTTGAGACTGCAGCCCCTGAGGCGGTGTCTAGCCACCCGTCCTCGATTGGCGCAGTTGGCTCCGAGCTAAGGGTCGGAGCTGATGCAGGCGCGGCCTCTGGGGTACTTTTTGGCGGTAGAGCTAGGTCATACCCATCATGACAGTGCGGCGCGCCCGGCTGTGGCTCGAATCCGTCGAAGATCAAGTCTCCGCGGGATGTCGGCCGTGTAGTTCAAACTTCCAAATCTGACCTGATGGCCAGGGCGTAGCTTTCAATCTTCTCCAGATGGCCAAGCGAATTAGCCCGCAGTGCAAAGCCGCCGAATACGAAGATTTGTCGGGGGAGAAAAGTCTCACCCTGGACCACATCGCTATCGATGATAGTAGGAGCCATCAAGCCTAACGGCGGCGGCACAGAGGAACTCTCAATGAAAGCACCAATGTCGGTGTCAAAACCGGCGGATCTCGGGTAGGGGGTCCCGAACTGTGCGTCTAGGCCGGATGGTAACAGGAGGCAGGGGACACGATGTTTTACCCAGGTTCGGACCCTCTTGATGGAGGTAAAACCCTACGTCCTGCTTGATTAATATTGATGATATGGGTAGTACAGGAGTAGATCTACCACGAGATCAGAGAGGCTAAACCCTAGAAGCTAGCCTATGGTATGATTGTATGTTATGGTTGTTGTCCTACGGACCTAAACCCCTCGGTTTATATAGACACCGGAGAGGGTTAGGGTTACACAAGGTCGGTTACAAAGGAGGAGATATCCATATCTGTATTGCCTAGCTTGCCTTCCACGCCAAGTAGAGTCCCATCCGAACACGAGACGAAGTCTTCAATCTTGTATCTTCATAGTCTAACAGCCCAGCCAATGGAGATAGTCCGACTGTCCGGAGACCCCCTAATCCAGGACTCCCTCACCCGTGGTGACATTGGTAGTACTCTAAGCATAAAGGTTGAATGGTAGTATCATATGGTGTTGTCGTAATTTGATCTCTAGGACTATCTGTGAAACTTTGGGGGGGAGGGGGCTCAATAGTTGAGGTGGTTCGCTACCTATGTGATTTCATCCTACTTTCTCCGATAGAATGGATTTGGAGTGATTCTTTGCTGCACTTTGAGGGATTACCATGTGGTTCAATTATGCTAATGTTGTTGAGAGTTAGCACTAGCGAAAGTATGAATCCTAGGCCTTGTTTCCTAGTATTGAGAGTTTGAGACACCATTTTACTCACTTTTGTTACTTGCTACCTTGATTTTTTTATTTGTTCATAATATAAAAGGCTATTTCTACCATCCATATTAAACATCTATTATCATCTCTTCATCGAACTAGTGCACCTATATAATTGACAATTGTGTTGGGTGTGTTGGGAACACAGGAGACTCTTTGTATTTTGATTGCAGGGTTGTTTGAGAGAGACCCACCTTCATACAACACCTCTCGCAGATTGATAAACCTTAGATCATTCACTTGAGGTAAATGATGGTGATATGATGTATAGAACATAGTATACACCATTGGTCTACTGTTCTGACATGCTTAAATCACTATATGTGGTTAAATCTAATGAGGACAATGATGGTGATATGATGCAAGAAGTGGATAAACTACTTCCTAAAACTGTGGAAACGTTGAATATGGGAAATTGCAAAGGATCACTAATGATGCCTCTTGAGGATGTGTTTGACAAGAATCTTAAAATCGATGTTGGTCCTTCCCATAAAAAGTGGGGACCTATATTGGTTTAGAAGCCTAACACTAGGACTCATGGAAATATCAACATTATGGCCAAGGCTACTGCCTACCAGAGGAAGAAAAATCTTGAGGTCCCAACTACCTTTAGAGGTAACTATGTTACTATTCTTAGTAATGATATTCTTATGAAACAAATTGAACAAGTTGATTTATCTTTTGGTGATAATGATCATAGTAAACAACATATTATCTCTGGTGTTTTTGAAGAAGAAAAAGAGCTCTATTTAGCTTTCGCTAATGTTAATCCTGAAGTTGCCTTACCTGATAATTTGGATTCTGCTCTATGATAGAATTTAACACCCCTGCTAGATCTTTTCCCTTCAATCCAGTTAGCACTGCAGGTCTTTTAGAGAAATCACCTGCTATTTTAACTAAAACAAAACCTTGTGGTTTGTCTCACCCATTTGGGATATCATGATATGTATTATATGGAATATTAGAGGTTTGGGTCAATCTGGCAAAGTGCAGTGCTTAGGTGATACTATTTTCAAAACTAGACATGATTTCATTGGTTTTCAACAAACTAAGAGATATATTGTTTCTAGGGTTTCCACAAGGGTACCCAAACGAAGCTTTGTTGTCGTTGTTATTGTTGTCGTCGTCGTTGTTGTTGTTGTAGGGAAGGGTTTGTCGGAGTCTAAAATGCATCTTGGGTCGGGTGAGCTCTTTGCTATATCAGTTGAAAGTTCTCTACGTCAATGCTCAGGGTGCCCTTTCTCCCGATGATAGCTTGGCCATGATCCCTCGTGGAGCGCTGACTAGTGAATAGACGACGCCAACAATGTTGAGAAATCTATTACATGGTGGTGGATCCTTCCTTCTCACCGCTATGTTGCTTGCTCTATCTATTTTGGTGAAAAGATTGTGCCATATTTGAAGGTGTGATCGAGTCCTGTGTAAGGATGCATTTTCCTAGCTGTTCCTTCTTTTTAATAAAAGGGGGCGGGGTAACTCCTATTGTTCAAATAAAATATATGTTAAACATTTTTCAAAAATATATGATGTACATTTTTCAAATATATATTTTTGAACATATTTCTTAGTATGTGTTAAAAGTTTTTCAAATACACGTTGAACATATTTTTAATTGCATGAAACTTTTTAAAACGTAGTGAACATTTTTTTACACCATGTTAATTTTTTTAAATGTGATGAGCACATTTTAAAAATGCGTGAATATTTTTTGAAGTGTCACGTACATTTTTTTTGTTGGTACAAAACATTGTCTGTTTATTACCTGAACATCTGTTTTGCATTATATAAATATATTTATTTAATATCATGAACATTCTTTTGGAACATGTGAATATTTTTAATGTATATTTTGAATGCCCATCAACACCTTCTAAAAGTTGCGCGAACATTCTTTTAGCACTACATAAACATTTTAAATATAAATATTAATGTTTAGAATATTTGAAAATACAAATAAAATTAAAAAGAAGGAAATCAAAACAAAAGGCGATCAAAGGGAAGGGAAGGAAGCAGCGTCACATACTGCTAAGTTTCACGCCCACATTAAGCGACACACAGTCGCTCCCTGCAATCCTATCCACACACTCACTGCGCACGCACTTCCCCGTACCATCCACAAGGCAACAGTAGAAGCCCATGGAAGCAGCTCAGCGACGACGTCGCCTCCCCCCGGAGGCACGTGTCCGCTTCAAACGCATGTGTCAGCAGGCCCTGTCTTCCAACACGAGGCACACGCGTCCACCTCCCAGACGTACGTGTCACCCTCGCATTACTCGCCGAGGAGTATATACACACTTTCACAAACGCTAGCTCAGTCACTTGTGTACTGCAACACTACAGCCAACACTACAGCACTAGCACGAGCGAGCAAGTTCCAGAGAAGTTCGACCACAGCGCGCGACCATGTCGTCGAGGCAAGACCAGCGCGAGGCGAGGGCCGAGGCCGACGCTCGCCGCGCGGCGGACGAGATCGCGCGCGCGCGGGACGAGCGGGTGATGCAGGCGGAGATGGACGCGCGACGCGCGGCGGACGAGATCGCGCGCGCCCGCGCGGACCGCGAGCACGGCGCACTGGGCGGCGGTGCCTACGCCGAGCACCCGAGCGGCGGCGGCGGCATCCTGGGGAGCATGCAGGAGGGCGCCAAGTCCCTGGCCAGCGCGGTCGGCCGCACGTTCGGCGGCGCCAAGGACACCGCCGCCGACAAGACCTACCAGGCGGCGGACGCCACCGGGAACACGATGGGCGAGTACAAGGACTACACCGCCGAGAAGGCCAAGGAGACCAACGACAGCGTCGCGCACAAGACGAGCGAGACCGCGGAGGCCACCAGGAACAAGCTCGGCGAGGCCAAGGACTGCACCGTCGAGAAGGCGACGGAGGCCAAGGACACCGTGGCGCAGAAGACGAACGAGACCGCTGAGGCTACCAAGAACAAGCTGGGAGAGTACAAGGACGCCTTGGCCGGGAAGACGCAGGAGGCCAAGGACAGCACCATGCAGAAGGCCCACCAGACGAAGGACGCCGCCGCCGAGAAGGCGAGGCAGGCCAAGGACGTGACACAGCAGAAGGCCGGCGAGTACACGGACGCCACCAAGGGGACCGCGCAGGAAGCCAGGGACAGGTCCATGGCGACCACGCAGACCCACGATGCCGATAGGTATGCCACTCAAGTCTCGACTCATTAACTTGCACACAAGTCAAACTAGGACTCACATCGTACACATTTTTCGTGTTGATGCGCACGCAGGGGTCAGCAAGGGACCGGTCTGTTCGGGGCGCTGGGCAACATGACGGGCGCGATCAAGGAGAAGCTGACGGTTGGCTCGGGCACGCAGCAGCACGACGCCGGAGGGCACGGCCTCCGGCTGGGCAGCGAGGACGAGCGCGCGGTGAAGGAGCGCGCGGCGGAGAAGGCGGCGTCCGTGTACTTCGAGGAGAAGGACCGGCTGGCCAAGGAGCGCGCGGCGGAGCGGGTGGACAAGTGCGTTGAGAAGTGCGTGGAAGGGTGCGTCGGCTCCTCCTGCGCCCACCGCAAGGGCAAGATGTGAGCGGCCGGGCGTCCCACGTGACCGACCGCGGGCGCGTCTTCGGTGCGACGTGCACACGTATCGCGTTCTCGTGCCATCCATGCCGTCACTCCGAGCATGGCGGCGACAATAAACTTTTAACTCCTAGTGGAGCTCCAGTAGAACCTTCGTTTTCAATTTCCTTTTTACTTTTTTTGAGGATCAAGTTCCTTTTACTACTGCCTTTGTCTAAGTAGTGTGTGCGTCCCTTAGTTTGGTGAATCGTAAATGCTCTACTGCTTTGTTTTACAATCTCCGGTGTCTTAGTACGAGTTTTTGCATGCCCTGTGTGTACTGTCTGCGTGAGTCTGGCGCCTCGTATTGGTGTCTGTCTACCTCAGGAGTCGAGACTAGTCTACGCGTGTGTGTGTGTTGTGTGCACCGAGGCGTGCACGATCGGTATTTTTCCTTTAGGGAGGGGATGCCCTCATGGCTAGCTACTACTTCATTGATCTGATAATAGCAGTACATCCTTCACGAAAGGAGCTTACCAAGAAAATCAGAGAATTCCCCCCTGCAAAAAAGAAAACCAGAGAATTCATCGGCCCAATTAGAAAAGACATCATGATCATAAGCTATATATTGTGAGCAGCCTCTTTGGCTTCTCTTCCGACAGTGTAGCAATTCAACACTTCCTATCATTCCCGAAATGACAGAAAGAACAATTGGCCCTTGTACGAAGGAAACGGTGATAGTTCGGGCATCTCCAACGCAAATTCTCCCAAAAAAAAACTCTCAACGCATATTTCCTATCATTCCTGAAATGACAGAAAGAACAGTTGGTCACAAATTTCCTATCACTAGATGACACCCGTGGTGCTAGACGACACCCGTGGTGACAGAAAGAACAGTTGGTCACAAATAAATAGACGTGACTTCCCTTCTAGTTGTACATGCAGCTGTATCATTGCGTCAATGTTTATTAAGTTTCTTCTATCAATAAATCAATGTATTCGTCTTTCCAAAATCAAAACGAGCATCCATCTTCCTACATACATGAATGAGCATGTTCGAAATGAGCTACCGCGATTAAACCAAAGAATGAGCTATCAAAATGAGCTACAACAAGTGCATGTACCCCGTCGTTTTCGCATTTGAAGAACACCTATTCGGGGTGCTTCGATGTGTCCGAAATTAGCCGCAGCATTGTCCGCATGCAGTCGTCGCAGTATATGAGCGACATCAGCGAGCCACAGAGCTGCTGCACAAGCGCCGAGCCAGGTGAATGGCCGGACGAATCCATGCCCGCAAATCGTCGGCGGCGCCGGGAGGACGAACCCGTACCTGCATGCGGCGATGCGCCCTTACCGGGACTGCGGGAGATGCTCCCCGACCACTTCATCACTTGGCGAAGTCACCGGTGACCGGAAAAGCTAAATCCGGCGGGTAGCGATGAAGGTCCACAGATCCGCAAATTTGGCGGCCCGGGAGGCCTCGTGCGTGTGGCGGCCTTTTGGCGAGCTCCTGCCGGCTGCTCTTGTCGGAATCTTGGGCGGCGGTCCGGCGACGGCGCGAGGGGGAGAGGGGAGGTGTTGGTGGGAAAGCGCGGGCTGAAATGCCCCCCGCCCTCCCCCCACCAATTGCTTTCGCTTATGTGCGGGCACCGCAACGGTGAGGGGGAAACCCACGAATACGTGGGTCGGGGCCGAGATTTTGCCGCACCCTTTAAAAAAATTTGCGGGTCGAGGCGGGATACAGGGTCTGATCGGACAGGTTTTTCCCTCGACCCGCATTTTGAGGTTATTTTGTGGCTCGGGGCGGGATACAGGGTCTGCTAGAGTTGCTCTTACACCATGTTACAAAATAACTTCAGATTCCATCGTACCGGCAGCAATCATGATACCATATGATGTGTGCTTCTACTTACACTACTTCCACGTAAACACCAAAACTACAAAATTTCCTACAACTGCAATGCAATAAAAAGATAACTCAAGGCACACATCACATCATTCTACATTCTAGAAAATTGATTTCTAGGTGAGAAAGGATGCATGGATATTGACAGCAACTTTCTTCCAGACAATAAACCTGGATGGACAAAATAAAATTGATTTATACATATGGAGAGCACCTCATGGCTAATATATCCCTTGCTTAGTTTCATCCATAGATTTTCTAAATTTTATTTCTTGTAATTGTTACCTGTTTCTCTTCTGATGTCAATTCTGAAGTTAAGTTCTCTGAACTGGAAAAGCTCCAGAGGAAGAAATTCCTATGATATATATAAATAAAAGGTGCAAATGTTCATGGAGTGAAAACAATATTAATGGAGGAGAGCTTCCGTACAAATTCGAGTAGCAAGAGACCTGTGAATCAATGAAGTCAATGCCAACAACATGAACTATGAAGCAAAACTCCGAGCATCTTTCAATCCGGAGTGCAATCTGACAAACTAAAAACATTAGTTAAGCATAGGAAAATTAGGGGTAGCTGGAAAAAGGGAGCATCCAGTAAGAGACATCTGAAGTGGTCAAGTCAATTCAACTAGCAAGAGACTTATGAAGTAAAACATCGAGCACTTTTTAATCCAAGGGGCAATCTAAGAAAACATAAGTTCAGGATAGGAATCCTTAGGTGGTTGAAAACAGGGGGTGCTACCAGAATGGAGGTCGGTTCCGAGATGTGGATGCGAGTAGGCGTGCGGGCTTAATGATGATGGCATTACAAAAGGGTTTTTAAACATAGCACCTGTAGGGTATTAATGGGGTGAGGTATGTGCATCTGTTGGCCAAAGAGCATCATCGGGGAAGATGAAACAGAAACCCTCTTTTAATATTCTTAGTTCCTAATATAGTAAAAAGAATGAAAGTACATAGTTAGCGATGATGCATTTTCATATTTCACAATGAAAAAGGCATGACATGATGAAAATAATCATAATAGATCAACACTTTTAAAGAAAATCAAGGAAAATTATAGTCAAAAATAGAAGACTACAGTATATAACGTTAAAGAAAGATGGTTAAACTATGACCATCCCAGTGGACTGTGTCTATATGTTGTATCTACTAATCTACACCATTTGATATCATATCAATTTGTGGCCTAATTATCCTACATTTTACCAATTGTGGTCACCCTCAAACGGATGGATGCGTAGGCAAAGGCATAGTCAACAGCCGATTCCACCTCCTTCCTGGGTACTCCTCCACAAGGGTTACATAGCTAGGATTGAACTCACGGAGAACTCCTTCATGCATTGAGTTAGTCGGCAGATCTGGTCCAGGAGACCTCCGCCGGCCACCAGATGCCCACGGGAGTGGTCTCCCCCAAAACAGCAGCTAGAGTGATAGGTGGAAGAGTGGACGCCCAATTAGTAGCCGGGGTCGTAGGAGCGGCATCGCTCGCAAGGGGGTCGCGACGCGCGGGATGGCTCGCCGATGTCACACGTGGCAGCCCCGATGGGGATGCGGGGTAGTGGGGTCAGAGTGAGGTCGCGGGGATCGTGCGGCGGCCTGCCGGGGTCACACCATATGGAGTGCCTACCTCGCTAGAGATCGCTTGGTAGAGGCGCTGCATCTCGCCGGGTTAGTCTCGAGGAGGGTTAGCAAACGGTGGTGGATATTAGATTGAGTCGTCGGTTCCAGAAGACGGAAGGAGAATCGAATGGACGACGATTTGTTTGCGGTGGAACCGGACGTGAGGAGAAAGAGGCGTTCGTGGTCAGCCTATGGCGGGTCCACAACTAGTATCCGAAAGCTGAGAACATGGTTTGGGACTGCTCCGCTTCATAAAAATCGGTTTTGCACCACTAAATTCACTTTGGAGCAGTTTCATCTAGAAGTTGTAGTACTATCAAAGAGAATGTTTGGCTTCCATCTAGCTTCAGCTTCAAGAATGAGAAATTTGGTGAAAAGGATCTATTTGATTGGTTGAGGGGGGAGAAATGAATGGGTATCCACTTACTGGTGGAGTGGTGGGTAATTTCCAGCCAACTCCAGCTTCTAGAGTTTTTTTGGAGCACCCCCTCAAGAGCTTCATAAAAAACTGGGAGTTGTATCCCAGATTCTAGTTTTTTTGTGGAGCGGCATATCGTGGAGCTACCCCATTTGGCTTGTGTTTTCTAGAGTGGAGCTGAATTTTAAGGAGCAGAGCAGTCCCGAACATGCTAATACAGCCAACGGTCGGCTATAAGAAGTATCCATGTCATCCAGCCAACCTCTTAGCCGGCATGTACAATAGCAAGTTTTAAATATGTACTAGTTTATCAATAGTTGGCCCACCTTACATCCTCACAAAGCGTCTTGGGTCTCTTGTTGCAGCTGGCTAATAACCAAGAGTCCGCTTCTCTTCTCTCTCATCTACTCTCTCCTCCAACTAAGCAAAGATATAGTATTCTATTCCTTATAGCCTGCTTATATCACTCTATTGTACTTGCTCTCTGTATTGTGATGGGTCCCCCATGTAAGCATTCCTGAAACGACAAAAACAACAGTTGGTCGCAAATTTCCTATCATTCCCGAAATGACGGAAAGAACAGTCAGCCCGATATGTGTCCACACGGACGTTGAACGGACGCGCACGCGTCCGCCTCGGGTCCATTTGGCATCCGGACATCTAAATCTCACCATCCACATTGACTACGCATGGGTGGGAGGCCCCATCTGGCAGCCACCCTGGCCGAGCAGTCGCCTCCTTAATGTGGGAGTCGTGGACCGGTGGGAGTCCACACTTTCACTTCCCCACTCTGGCGACGTGTGCCTTCTCGAACCCCCACATCCAAACCCTAGCACGCCGCTCCTCCACCTCCTTTTTTGGCCACCATGGGATGGCATTGAGTCCCCGACCGAAAGGGCAAGCACGACCGTGAGGCCCGGTCCTCCTCCGTCCGTCGCCGCCGCTCTACTCCTTCACCTCCACCTCCACCTCCACCACCCGCCTTTCACATCACGCCACTGGCGGCCGGATCTCGCTTGCGCCCGTTGAAGGAAATATGCCCTAGAGGTAATAATAAAGTTGTTGTTTTATATTTCCTTATATCATGATAAATGTTTATTATTCATGCTAGAATTGTATTAACCGGAAACTTGATACATGTGTGAATACATAGACAAAACAAAGTGTCCCAAGTATTCCTCTACTTGACAAGATCGTTAATCGAAGATGGTTAAGTTTCCTAACCATAGACATGTGTTGTCATTAGATAAAAGGGGTCACATCATTAGGAGAATGATGTACTGGACAAGACCCATCC